ACAAGAAGAGGTAGTCTAAATCCTCACTGGCTTCCCATCTGGCAGCACCTGCTGGGACCACCCTACTGGATGACAGTCACATCTTTTGTGAATAGCCCCTTCTGCTCTGCTCACAGCCCCTGCGGGCCATTAAACCACAGGGGTCTCCAGTCGCAGAGAGAAAAATAGAATTGACAGGGTTTTGGGAGAATGGACCAGTGAGTTCTATTTGTGAACAAAAGAATAGGTGGCAAATTAGTAGCGCATAAGAAATTCTAGCTAAACCAATAAGTATAAATGACGGAGTGGGGTGAGGCGACCTGCTGTCTTCAGATAAACTGCTGGGTAAGCTCGAAAGCATCCTGCCAGGGCTTAGAGCTGGGGTTCCTCTGGCCCTTAGTAGGTGTCACTCCCATCCCACAAGAACTAAAGAAGAAAGGGGTCTTTACACCTCAACTCCAAGTTGTGGGCAGAGGCAGCCTAAGACTCACTGGACCCAGAACCATTCTCCAACAAATCCTACCTGGTTCTGAGATAAGAATTCCTTCATGACTCAGTAATAATTCATACTGCCTCTGAGCCTATGTTCTCACATAGGAGCTTCCTGTGCACAGTGATATTTAGTTATGTGTTTTTAAATAGCTGAATTTGCACATCGATGAATACCTTGGTATTAAAAAAGAAAACTACTCATGAAAAGAGGAGAGAGAGAATGAGTATCAGCAGATTGCATCACCACAAAATGGCTGCCCCTGAAGCAAAGGTTTCTGGATAACTTCTGTCTGCTGGGGCAGGGTACCATTCATGCTTACCTTTCAGTTATCCTTCCTTATTACAGAAACTTCTCCTTCAAGGTCTCTCTCTGGTGGTCTGTGGGTAGGAGGCAGGCTAGGACAATATAGACCTCTGGGAAAGACAGACAGACAAGAGGAGCCACATGCCAGTCTCCCCAGAACAGCCCAGGAAACAGGGGTAGAGGCCTGAGAAGAGGCGAGCCTCCATGGAATGTGAGACCAGAAGCAAGCAGACCCCCTTCACCAGCCCCTGCCAGCAGCTACGATTCTGATAAATAACCGTGCTATGCCAGCAGCTTGGCTCTGGGGTCTGGGCCTCATCAGAGACTGTAAATCCCTGGCACACACTGTCCAGCAGGGAAACCTGACACACCAGAGCTCCCAGCAGCGACCGGCTGTCCTTGATTCTGCGGATGCAGAGATTCTCAGGGCAGCGTCCGACCTGCTCCACCTCATCTTTCCCGGCTCCAGGCACCAGCCCTGAGTGGACACACTTCAAGGGAATGAAATCTGGAGCTGTCAAGTCAAGAAGAGGAAGACAGGACCAGCACAGAAAGCACCAAGGTAGAACCTAAGGTCTTTTTCTGGACTCTGACTCTCCTGGAACCAAATGTCATAGCCCTTAAACCGTGGCAATATGGGTCTGGTCATTTTATACCAGTTTCCCGCTGGCAGAAATTTGACTCTTCTTTCCCTTGGGTACTAGTTTGAAGACCAGAGCCCACAGATTTTAATAAAGCTTCATTTTGATAAATGCCTACGCTGTTGGCCACACTTATTAAGAACTTGCTGTTGGAAACACATCACAAAGTGGTTAAGAGCCTGGAATTTGAAGTCTGAGAGAAGCAAGTGCCAAGTCTCAGGTTGCCACTCACTAATCTGAATGACCTTGAGCAAATTAGTTAACCTCTCTGAACCTCAAAATCCACATCTATAAACTACAGATAGCAATATCCATCTCCTGGGACCATGGGGATGATTGAAGGAGATGGCCTGTAAGTACTCAGCACAGCACAGAGGACTCAATAAAAAGCTGGGTATTAGCTGTGCACGCCAGCCACGGCACGAAGTGCTGCAGTCCAGAGCTGCGTTTTCCCCTGCTAAAAGCTTGCATGTGCTACCACACACTTGCAATCCTAGCACTTGGGAGGCAGAAGGGTCAGGGGTTCAAGGTCATTCTCAGATACAGGGTGGGCTACCTGAGGCACTATCTGGGTAGGGAAAGGTAGGGGCAGGAGGAATGGAGAGAGGGAAGGGGAGGAGAGGTACCAGAAGGGCCTTGGATGCAGGGGGCATTTCTTTCAGAGCACTGCCTCACTGTGCCTGGGATAGCATACCAGCAATTCAGAACTGTGCTTCTGACCTCTAGCAGCCTAGAGCCCTCCTCAGAGGAGGCTGGCACAGGGTCTGAGGTGCAAGGGTTTTGTTTCGTTTCCCACCCTGGTTCTCAGATGTTTGGCTGTCAAGATTTCTTGCAGCATAGCCTGGAAGTCAGTGATAAGTTAGACTTTGTCTGTGGGGGGAAGGGAAGCATCCAATCCACCTTCTTTTTTAAAACTCTTATGCTGCTTATCTTAGAGGTTTTAGACAGATTAATGATGAATCGTCCTACTGCAGCAGAATTGGACAGGAGAGCCAGAGGGGCAGGAGAGCACCAAGCAGGAGGATGCTGCTCTGGAGTCCTCGTGTCTGGTCATGGAATAGGTGTCCAGACAAAATAGGGAAGGCATGGACTTCAGAGTGAACAGACAATGTCAACTCTCTCTCTTCCAGTAGCCAACTGTAGTTCCACGGGTCAGCTCTGACTTTTTCTTGCTACCTTGAAGAAATTCTGATTTTTGAAGTGAATGCATCTTAGGTCAGCCTTAGATCTAGACCCTTTATAAGGGGAGGACAGAAGTCCAGAATCCCTCAGAAAAGTAGGAGACCCATTCTTCTCCTTCCTTATAGGAAAAGGCCAACATCAGCTCTACTGAGCAATTTCTTTTGAAGCTTCCAGATCTGTTACAGATAAGACAGGAGAGTAGAGAGATGGCAAGACCCATTCAAGGAGAAAGAACCCCTGAAATCTACTCAGCAGGTACCCCAGCTTGGGGACAGGCCACAGTCATAAACAATACCTGTGAGTCCAGGTCTCTCTGTTGGAGCCATCTAGGTAGGAGCTGTTGTAAATAAATGGTCACACTACTTATCACACAATAGCCTGGTTCCCGTCCTAGCTTTCCCATCCAGGGAGGACTTAAAAACAGGTTCACTTCAAGCTGAGCTGTGGGTTCAATCATACAGGATCTGGCCACCATCATATGCATACACACACACACACACACACACACACATTCAGGAGCACAGCATCGAGAGGGGAAATCATCTCTGGTTGAGATCCACAGCGGAAGAGGTGGGAACCCAATATCTGGCAGCACCTGCTATGTCTAGCACCGGTCACAGAGTGAGACTGGGTAAAATGGTACCAAAAGCATCCTCCTTAACAACTGTGGAAACGGATGTTCCGTGGTGCAGTGACTGGCCAGACCGCGACAATAAACACAGTGCCTCCTCTGCAGCCTGACCCTGCTGGTCATCCCCATGGGGACAGAGTTCAACAGGCCCATGTTAGCAGCAGGCAAACTGAGATCTACTCTGAAGATTCACCCACCCCTACGTCACCTGGCGCTCAGGCCAGTCCCCTCACGAGTGCGGCTAAAGAACTGCACTGATCCCACAAACAGCTGACACACGACTCTGTGTGACTCAGGCTAAGCAAACTCCGATCAGCTGGTGGGCACGATTCACCTCCTGCACTGAGTCACCGAAGGCTAAGCTGCAGAAATCCTCTATTCAACTCAACCACCTACTTGGCCACAGCTGCTCCATTAGAGAAGAAGGCACCACAGGAGCTACAACCTCTGATGGCCTTGTCCGTAGCCAAGGGCAGCCAGGTGTGACCTGAAAGTCCTTCCTTCCAGGAGATGGATCTACTTTACTGGATAGGATACAATGCGAGAAGCGCAGAAGGTACAAGACGCTCATGCCCCACACAGTTTGAAACCCACCAAAGTTTGACGGATACTATAGAGCCATTCCAGTATTTTCCCAGTTCCCGGAAGTTCTTGTTAACAGCGGCAATGGTGATCTTTCTTCTTCATCCCCATAGCTCCAACCCAACCCAACCCAGCTTGCCTCTTCTTCACAGCTAAACTGCCTTCCAAAGTAGCTCTACTTAAAAATCTCCTTATTCATATGGCCCATTAAACTATTTCTAAAGAGGGGGAGCGCAAGGAAGGAAGGAAGGAAGGGACAGAGAAAGAGAAGGGAGGAGGGACGGGGGGGGGGAACCGAGGAAGGGAGGGTGGGAAGAGGGACGGAGGGAAATTTTCAAAGAATAAAACCCACTTGACAGCAACTGGGTCCGAGTAGCCTCAGAACTTCTGAACTTGAACCTGTGACAGAGCTGAAGAGATAGCTGAAGCACTGGGCTTCCTTCCAAGGCGGCCGCGCCCCTGGGGGAGCAGCCTTGGCATACGGAGAACATCCCTTCAGAGCACCGTCTGCACAGGTATAAATGTGGCAAAGGCCTCTTTCCCGACAGCAGGCCCCTCTAGACTGTGGCCCCCAGTGCACGCCTCCTATCTCTATCCATTGGTCCCCAGATGCGCTTTCCTCGGGGGAGGAAGGAGCTCTTCCATTCTAACTCTGAATTCACTGAGGAGCAGCCCCGGAACTGGAAATTAAATATTTATCTCGGCACGAATGTACTGCTTCCCTAGCCAATGTTACCGTCAAGGTCACGAGCCCGAGTGGCTGGGGCTGGGGTCCCCAGCTGCTCCGGAGCCTCCTGGTGGAGCTGCGCCCTGGGCGCACTCCAGGCACAAGGACCCACCGAACTGGCCTCGCTGGTCCTCCGCTGGTGCTCGCCTCTGCAGCTGTCCTGTTACCTCCGGAGTTCTGGGGCATCCTGAGCTCCAGAAGCTGAAGCCCAAGTTCAACCTGTGCAGAAGCTGCTAAGCACCCTTGCCGCGCCAGATCATCGCCGCCCCGGGGCTCTGTCGCCAGGCAACGGCGGCTGGAGCGCCAGGAGGAGCCCCCGCGCCAGCGCTGGGTCGGGCGGACCGGGTGGAGCGCCGCCACGCACCAGGGGCCTCCGGCCTTCCAGGCTGGGGCGGGGCCGCAGCAGGCAAAGTTGCCGTGGCTGGCCTGGGTACGCCAGACGGGAATCAGACGGCGACTCACCTGTACCGCGTGGACCGTCGCGTAGATTCGGCCCCTGGATTACCGCCGAATGACCGTGGTCCCCGACGGGTCGTGGGTGCACCGTCCTTCCCGAGGGCAACTGGAGTCAGGCGGCGACAGGCCCGGTCCGGGGCTGGGGGGACCCGGAGCTGCGCGCGCCGGCGCACGCGGCTCAGCTGGCTCCTCGTTCCCTCCCTCGCCGTCAGTCCCAACCCTGCTCCCGCTCTTCGCTCGCTCGGGGCTCTGGGGAGCCACCCCGGGGCCCAGATGCCGCGGCCGAGGGAGCGCGTAGCTGCGAAGGCCCCGACCGACTGCCGCCCTCCCCGCGCCCTGTCCGCACTGGCTCTGCGGAGCGGAACGGAGCTGGGCGGAGCGCGGCGCGCACTGTTCCCTCGCTTTCCGAAAGGCCACCCTGGCGGCGGGGCGCCGTGACGCAGGCTTGACTCACGCGCGGGCCCGCGTCAATGCGAGGCTCCTGGGCTGCGAGCGAGGCTCTGATGGCCGACACAAGCAGAGGGGTGGGCAGGGAGCAGAAGGGTTGCCAGGAGTCGCCTCTTAAGACCTCAATGCTCTTCTTAGGGCATCTACCCTCGGGAAAATGGGCCCCCATGGCCATAGGCCTACCTGAGCCTGGGACCTCACCTGTCTTTACATACTCACCTCTTCTTAACCCTCTTTCAGGATTTCAGTCCTACTCGGTGGTTATTCTTTGCATCCCATGTGAATGTCGCCTCTCAGTCCACCATCCTACCAAGACCAACCACTGCACAATACAGTTTCCCAGAACCCCGACAAACGAGTGGAGTGGAGGCGATGAGAGAGAGGGAAATTGTGACTGGGCACCAAAAAGTATGCTGGCCTTAAATAAGGTATAGACGAAAGGGGAAAGGCCAACCATTGTGGAGGGGACAGTGTGACCAGGGCAAACACATGAGCGAAGAATGTGTGCAGACAGGTGGTTGCTGAGCTAGAGCAGGGCTGGAGGGTGAGGAGAGGTGAAGGTAGTCATGGGGACAGGATCTGGCTGGCCGGAAGTGCTGTTTGGGGAGCCTTTGGCATATCACAGGCAGGTACCTGTTTGGGAGGGATGGAGAAGGTGGCGTTGTCTTAATTATCCCAGCTAAAGTTGATAAAGACCAGAAGCAAGAACTCAGAAGGAACTGAGATTCTGCACTTACAGTCTAACCAGTTGTCCTGACACAGTCTTCTGGACGCTGGCAGAAGACAATGAACTGCGGGGCTAGAGACAATGGACTTGTATTACTTGGGACACAGCAAATAGCACGCGCTTCATATTCACGTCAGCTTCTCCTAATCCACAAGTCCTATGGAAGGAGTCTCAAGTTTAGCGAAGCCTAATGTTTTATAATAGACTACAAGAAAACCCGCTGGTGATTTGCACGGATAGAATTTTCATCATAAAGGACAGCAAACAAAACTACCCTGCACTATCTTTGTTTTCTGAGGCAATTCACTGTGCAAAGATCCACTTAACTAGATTGGAATGAGAGGTCATCCGTGCCTCTGCCCATGAGACACATGGAAATGCAAGATGCCCATTGAGAATAATCTCTCCCAATCGATGGTTCTATTAGTCAACAAGTATTTAGCAAGCCTATTGTTTGCTGGAAACTGTTCCGGTCCTGCGGACATAACAGACAAGTCCCATCATGATCCCTGCCCTTATGGAACTTACGTCCCGGTGCACTTAGCCAGGAAACCAGCAGGATGGAGGCGCGGGAAAGGAGAAAGCAGGAGGCGCAAGAGCTGTGATGGGGTGAACAAGTTCGGTGTGACCCTCATGTGTTGAGAGGGGTGAGAGGAAGGGAAGCCTCAGATGTAGATGGTTCTGCGGGGAGGGCTATAGAGTTGGTGTAGAGATGGGAAAAGAACTTTTGAGTCTGGTGAACCTGTTTTTTTTATCTAGACTGCCATTACTTACATACCTTGAGTAAGATCTATAACCGAATGAGCCTCAGTTTCCACATCTGTAAAATAGGTACACGCTGCAAGAGAATACATGTTTTATGAGGTTGTGATGGTCACATGAGATGATTGTTTTAAATGATCTGATGTCACATACCCTTGATAAAGACTGTTATTGGGTGACTGCATTGTCACTAAGATGACCTAGGAAGAGGAGATTTGGGAGCAAAGGTGAAGAGACCCTGGATTTGAGGCATACTGAGAACAGCATATCTATCAGGTACGAAGGCCCTGTATCACGTCCACCTGACGACAGCCCTAATCTTGAGTGAACTCAGTACTTGGTTTCTTCATGCAAACTTCTCTGGGAAAAGAAGTTCCAGTAAGAACCCATCTCCTGGGCTGGAGAGATGGCTCAGAGGTTAAGAGCATTGCCTGCTCTTCCAAAGGTCCTGAGTTCAATTCCCAGCAACCACATGGTGGCTCATGACCATCTGTAATGCCCTCTTCTGGCCTGCAGGCATACACACAGACAGAATATTGTATACATAATAAATAAATATTTTTTTTTTAAAAAAACAATCTCTTTCTGATTTCATGGTCGCCAGCCTTGAATAGCCTTCTCGTTTCCCAGTGCCTCCGTGTGGCTTTATGAGCCATCTCTCCTCTCTCCTGTCAAGGCCACCTCAATTTTCTATTCTCTCAACCTCCCTTCTTGTCTACCCATTACCTCCTCGGTCTCTCGAAGGTTCCTTGACTCTCACCCAGGACTGTGGGTCAGCCTTGCCTGCACCCCCCCTGGGTATCTGCACTTCCTCCCTCCAGTCCCTACGAGAACAGGGGAGCCTCTCCTGCTGTCAGAATCCAGGTCCTACTTAGCCCCTGGGTCCCTTGGCCCGCACCTTCTTAACAGCCTCAGACATTGACCACCCTAGATTCTGGGGGCTTTCTCAGTGGCTTTGAAGCATGTTCAGATATCTCCTTTAAAAGTCGCCCCAACTTTCTTCTTCCAAATGCTCTGTTTCCATTTTCTCCTCTCCCCTTCCCTTCTTAACCCACCCTGCACTCTCATGACGTCAAGATGGATGTCAGCAATGACCTCTGACTCACTAAATCTGCAGGACATTTTCCCAGTCCTCCTGTTATTATCCTCTATAGTACTTCCTTGGACTTCTCTCCTTCTTTAAGTCCCCGTCTTTATCTCCCTCTGGCCTCTGGTCATCCCTGTAGTTCTTCTGCTGACCTTTATATATTGGGCTTCCCAGATCCCTGTCCCTTTGTCCCTCAAGATCGTTGTTGTAAACCACCCTCTCTCCTGCTGCCATCTTCATTCCAGAGTCTTCTGCGCTCTGCACACTCACTCACTCCACCGGTCCAGCCTGTCTCAGAATCACCTCCTTATCCAGAGACCCAGCCTGCAAAAGTCAACATTTTTTTCCCGTTCCACCTCCAAGTCTCCCTCACAGAAAACCAGTCATCACCTTGCAAGCCCCTCCTTCTGATCTCTTCATGATAGGCACCATTCAATCCTGGAGGTCTTAGCTCCTAAAGGCCATGAGTGTCTGGTCACTTCTCTCTAATTGTATTGTCACGATCTTAGTTCAAACTATACCCATTAGTCACCCGGACCCTCAGAATCTCCTGACTCAAATACCAGGTTCATCCTTTTGCCCCATACAAGAGGAATTTTTAAATGGTTTTCCAAGATACGGTTTCTCTGTGTAGCCCTGGCTGTCCTAGAACTCACTATGTAGACCAGGTTGGCCTCAAACTCAGAGATCCTGAGCACTGGGATTAAAGGTGTGAGCCACCACACCTGACTACAAGAGAAATCTTTTCAGAGGTGCAATGTTCTGGTGCCCTTCTCAAGCCTGCGGTGCCTTGAGGCCCTTGCTTGTCTCCAGCTTCATCTGCCACTCCTCCCTCCATGACTTCCCTGCGGCCCACTGGCTCCATCAGCCTTCTCTCTGCTCTCCCCACACTTCCCACGCTTTCCTGGCTCAAGCTTCGGCCCATCTGCCCCCTCTGCCAGGAATCCGTGACAGCCCCTCCTCCTCTCCCCTTGCTTCCTGTCCACTCACCCAACAGAATCCTCCACACCCTTCTGACTGTGCAGAAGAATAATGCCAGCCTCTCAGGTGGGTACCTTCCCCCTGTAGCCTTTGTCACACTGTGATGAGGTATTTAAAGATGTGACAATACATTTCTAACAGCAGTGGGTGCCTGGTGAGGCTTCCATTCGTGTGAGGTGCTGCAGCTTCAGCAACGGAGATGAGATGGAAACAGGGGTGGTGATGCAGGGAGGACATGGTAGGATCTAGAAATGGGGGTGCTCTCTTCCTGTGACCCTGTGTACACGGAATGGAGCTCTGAGAGGAGAGAGAGCTCAGCCTATCCACAAGAGGACACCGCCACCAAAAGGGGAGGGGACTTCCATGAGCAGAGACAGCACCGAGTGGCAGCTGCTCCTCCTCACATGGCCGCTTGGACCAGCCTTGGGGATGGCAGGTCTTCCTACGGCTCAGAGCTTACCTCCTCCTGTTGTCACATAGGGCGCTCTGGGTGTCAAGTGCAAATCAACGACACATGGGGAACATCTCTCTGTCGGACAAGGCGCTCAGTTTCTGGCATATCTCAGAGGAATGGCTGAGGCACCAGTCAAGAGCACCTGGGAGGTGGTTGGGGTGCTTCCCTCTGTAATAGGCCAAAACTTAGTAAACGTCCCAAAGCAGCCTGTGTGGTGAGAAGACAGTGCTGAACTTCACCTAGATCAAGGAAAGCAATGCTTCCAATTGCAAGAAACAGGGTATTTGTCAGCACCCAGTGGTCGGGGCAGGGGTGTTCCAGTCAATTCTTGGTCTGAATACTGTGTTTTAGAAGAAGTCTAATTGATTTATTATCATTCATATTGCGTTCTAATTTCAATTAGATCCCACCTCATAATTTCTATCACTTCCCAGTAGTGCTAATATAAATAAATATTTCATTATTTATACAAAAAGAAAAAGAAAAAAAAACATTCCTAGAGGCTTTTCTTTTTTCTTCTCTTTAAGGTAGAACCTAGAAAATAGACATTGAGATTTCCTCTAAGCAATCCTGGTATTTCTTGAGGGAACTTGGACCCACCTCCCAAGCAAAGATGTGTAAGTTATTTCATAGTGCCTCCACCACGCTCTGAAATTTTCAATAATGGAGAATATTTCTAAGATTATAGAAAATAG